TGATTATCAGTAAAATCTACAAAATCGTCCATACTGACAAATCAAGTCAATATAATTTCAATTCTTTTTATCAAAAAATAAAATATACTTTTCTAAAACTTTATTTGTGGAAGATTAGCTGAATTAAAGTTTATTTGAATTAAAACAAATTTTACTTTAGTTTAAAATATCACAGAAAACCATTTTTGACACAGAGCTGAAGGTTTTTATCGACAGTCTGATGTTTGGAAAATTTAACTAAGGGCTACCTAACTGTAAAAATTACTTGAATATAATTGGAATTATTTTTTATATAATTTTTTAACTACCCAGTAATTTCAAATTTTTAAGAAAATATTCTATGCAATTTAATATTTTACTGAATTTTAGGTACTACGGCTTTATAGACTTACTTACGTAGACGCTTGCTGAGAAAATGACAGAAATTTACCAATAAATTTTAAATTTACTATAGTTACCTCACTTATTTCCTGGTAATATCGTGTATGGACGTCTGTATTTGCAAAAATTGATACGTCTATACACACATAAAATAAATTCAAAATTCTATTTTAAATATTGAGAGTCGTTGAATTGTAGTGAGCTTTTCCATGTACGTCAGTGTGTCTGCTAGACCACGAATGTTTCCGTGGTACACAATAACATTCAGTGTGTTGTTTAAATTTTAACATTCGGAATCATAATTTTGACCTGGAAAATAGCATGTTAATAAAAAGTGAATATAATTTAGTCAGACGAATCTGCGTTGAATATTCCATGATCTATGTGTGTTCTGCGATCGAGTTATTTTAATTTATCTCGTTTTTTGTCTAAATTAATACTAAAATATGGGATATTTAAACCTTGGTACTTCCAAAAATTCGCTAAGGAGGCTACATTATGAAAAATGCCCAGAACATAATAAAAACAAATGTGGCAGAGGCGATACCACCCCTGAAATAATAATAATAATAATAATAATAATAAAATAATAATAAAAAAATAATAATAATAATAATAAAGAAGGATATGCTGTAAAACAGAAAACACCAAGTGAAAGAGAGGCGTTTTCGAGCAACCAAGATGTTAATATATTGTACAGACTTTGAAATGTAAATGTTACAGAAAGTTAATTTAAAACACGAAATACAATCTTTTTGTAAATGTACAAAGGATATCAGATTACTAATAGAAAATTACTGGAAAAATATTTTGAAATAGAATTTATTTTTAAAACAAGAATCTCTGTAGTTTACAAAGAGCGGCAGAATAATTAATAGCGAGGTGATAAGCAACAGCGTCTTGTTGCGAACCTTGGAAACCAATCGAGTAAATTGTTTATTCTCGGACGAGTGAAGTTGTACTTTGGTAGTATGTCAGTACATTCGCACTAGAAAAACAGGTACGTCACCAGTCTGGGACACGTGAGGCCGGTTCTCTTAATAAAGAGGCGAGTCAACCGGATGAGGAAAAGTTTTAGGTTCGTCTGTCTTCAAATGCAGTCGGACTGAGTGGAGAGACGTCAGAGATTAAAAAAGAAGCGTCCGCTGTGTGATGGTGAAGCTGAGGGCGAAGAAAAGAAGTACCGCCGCTATCATCTAAGTAACGCTACTCCTGCTGCTACTTCTATTACTACTACTGAGAACGGGAACCTTGAAGGTTGTAGTAGTTGTGCTAAGAACAGACCAAAAGAGTTAAAACGAAGACCACATCTCTCGTCACCGAAATTATTCGAAGTATTTGTGTTTGGTTATTGTTCACATACAAGAAACATTCAACCCTGTGCAACAAGAATTATTTTTTATTTGTGTGTTTGCTTTTATATATAAAAAAATTTGTCCTTTCAAAATCGAATCGACTTGGTTATATTTATTTTTCTGTTAACCCGATTCTCACCCGACGAACTCTCAGGTAGACAAACGGGGAGCTTCCGGATTTCTACTATCTGATGACCTCTCTCCAGGTTCACAACAATCACAACGTGGCTGGAGGGTGGCTTCGAATTGATATTGGGAACCGGAGACTTGTGTCTAATGTGTAATACTGGACCATATCGGACCAACGCCCGGTCTTGTGGAGTGCGTAGTTCCAGTGGGGTGAGGATACGGAGTTACACAAAGTTTTATCTTTAAAATCTTTGTGTTATTAAAAGCAAAGATCGAAGAATTTTTAATGTAAATTTTTTTAATACTTTTAGAACCTTGAAAATTTTGGTTAAAACTGTTGTTCTTGATTTTTCGTTTTATTATAAGTGTCAAAGTTTAACCTTAAATTTAATTGAATTTAAACTTAAATGTTAACCTTAAATTTAACCCTAAATTTGTACGTGCAATTTGATTGACTTTTTTAAAAAACAAAAAAACATTGATTTGGAAAATCCTGTAAAAATCCTGTTATTTTTATGAAACTTTCATATTTGAATGAAATTATTTCTGAAAATTTTATGAAATTTCAATAAATTATTTTTTTTGCATCGCTTAATATTTACCCTCGGAGAATTTAAATTATCAAAAGATTTGGGTCATACAGTATTTGATATGTATTTGATTTCATTTCACTTATTTATTGGTACATTGACTGCTCTTAGTACAGCATAAGCGATACAACATTGAAAAATATTACCACGAAAAAATCACTAAATCTAACCTGCAGGAGAGCGCCTCGTAGGCTCACGTTTTCCAGGGGCGTGATTATATTGAATCAACTGCTAAGTCCGATGCTAGGAAAGTTGGTTCACTTTGACGTGAAAGACAATTTTTCTTGCCAGAATCCATCTTGCACATTTATAAATCTACCATTCCTCCGGATACTGAATACCGTTACCATCTCTCCTACTATAGATCTCGAGATTCTTGAAAAAATTCGAAGAATGATCTGTAATATAATTGTTCCTGGTTTGGCATCACGATTTCTGTCACTTTCTCACCGACGTGACGTGACTTTCCTCTTACTTTTCTACAAATATTTTCATTGCAACTATTTTGATAAGTTCTCCTCCTTGGTGCTTTGGCTGCATGAATTTATATAAACAGCAGAAGGGTATTATTATGGAATGAGGCTTACTGGAGGCGAACAGGCAAAAGGCCAAAGTAAAATAGAGCGCTATTCAAGAAGAGATTTTTGGAATTGCATTTGTGTGATTAACTTTGAGTTGACACCAATCAATGTTACGACTACAACAGACATTTATTTTCAGCTGTTGCATCGATTAAAGACCGCTTTCAAAGAAAAGAGGAAGGCTTTCATTGATAGTAAAAATGTAAGATTCCATCATGATAATGCACAGTCCACGGTGAGGGTCATATTTGAAAAGACTTAAAACATCGGATGGAAATATTCCAGATATTGCTCCGTTTTCTTATTATCGTTTCCTAAGTCATTAAATAGTAATCATTCTGTATATTTTCCTCCAAGACAAGAGACTAACAAAAAGAGGTTATTTATAGCAAAGAAACATTTCGAGATTCTTGACAAAATTCAAAGAATGGTCTGTAAAGTAATTCGATCCTGGCCTGACATATCAACACCAATGCAACATGGCATCCCTTTTCTGCAAGTATTTTTATGCCGATTGTTCTGATGAGCTTTCCTCTTTGGTGCTAGATTGCCAATTAGGTCTCACCGTTTTACTGTTGAACTACCTAGATACAACCGTCTGTTCTATTCTGATAGTTTTTTTTTCTCGCACTTCTCGCCTGTGGAACTCCCTTCCAATTTCTTGCTTCCCTATCAATTACGAACTTCAAAAATTTAAATGCAAACCCTGTTCATTAATTATCCTTTCACTTCACTTGTCCTTACTCAATTCTTCTCATCCTCTCTATAACCCGCGTCCTGGGTACGACGATAAACTACATCCGCGTCCTGGGTAAGACGATAAAGTACATCCGCATCCTGGATAAGACGATAAACTACGTCCAACAGCAAGGCCACTGGTCAAAAATATTACCAGCAATACATTTTTGGAAAAACAAAAAATATTACCAACAATAAAAATTTTTTCGGCATTAAATAACCCATTGAGGTGTTGATATGCCGTAAAACAAACCAAACCAAACCAAACCTCTCTATAACCCATTGCATACTAGTGGCATTATCGCCTTGCTTGAGGTGAAATATTTTTTAAATTCTTCGCGCCCAGGGAATCCTTTAAAATAGTTCTCTAGTGTACTTATACACTGGTACTATTCACAAAACTTAATAGTAACAGTTCGTACTACATTCGGCTCAGGCGCAAATTCACAAAAATTTGGATTGACTCCATGTATAATGTTTCTTTTTTATCATCATTATTATTATCTGTTATGAAATTCAACTTAAATACGAATGTATGCTTCTGCAATTCAACGTTTATCCTTAGCACGAAGGCAGCCCTATTTTGTTGCGCGTATGTATAATAAATATCTGCCTCGTGATCATTTCTTTTTGTAATTTCAACTTTATTCTTATAAATAAAAAAAATAGGTTCCCCTTTGCTACGCTCGTCCCACAAACAATAACTGAAGCCATGAAGTCAATTAAATGGGCCGTAACTAATATTTCCTTTTTACGGTCATTAAATTGACACGTGACGTTTTTTTAGCTTAGAACATCAGTTCATCAGCAAGACGTTACACGTGGCTATAATACATGTGCAACATCAAAACAAGCGTTTTTATCATGTTGCATCAGAAAACATAGTTTATGTTATTTCATCCTAGACATAGAGGCTTATGGCCATATCACGTTGAAACACCGGTAATCACCCAAGTTAAGCAATGTCGATCCTGGCTAGTACCTAGATTGTTTATCAACACTTTGCCAGAATTTTTTATTTTTTAGATTATAAGTTGATTTTTTTAGATAATAACTGTTTAGTGATAGAAGTCTTACTAATTAACCCATAGAAGAGGAGTGGAGAAGAACTGTGTTCATGCCTTTCCCAAGTGTAAGAGAATATAAGGAACTCACCGGAAATTGAAACTCGACTCTCCGATTAACAATTCCGGGCCATTATCCATTACACCACCCGCACATCCAAGCTTACAGCACCTGGTATTCCCAAGCGGTCAGCATTCTAGATACTGACCAGGATTGATGTTGCTTAACTTCGGTGATCCTACGGGAACCGTTGTTCAACGTGATGTGGCCGTAAGCCCTTATTCTCTATTTGAGTTTCTAGGGTGGGGAATTATCGTTATTTACATTCGGGCTAATGTCGTTTTAATGTTACAATATTTCGACTATTGTGCCTTCTTCAGATATCTGTCGATCTGGGTAAGCTTCAGGTAATTTCGAACTGAACCCTTTATTCAACTGTTGACGATTGTTGACGATTCGCGGTACATGTCAGGGGATATCTGGTTTTGTTCTATTATAGTACTATTCAGTTTTTGTTAGTCCTTAAACCTGAGTCTGTAGTACCCAGCTCCGAGATTGAACTTACAATTACTATGCCAACAATTTCACGAAACTACGTTTTAAACCTACAAAGGACAGGAAATTGTGGAGAGCCATGATCGCCTACGGCACGTGAAGAAGAAGAAGAAGAAGAAGAAGAAGAAGAAGGCTATTCTGCGTCTAGAACCTGGATCCTTAAACCTAACTGCTGTTGCCGTTATTGCTGTCACGCTTGACAACCTTTGCCCAGTGAATTTCCCCGTAGCCGTTTTTCTTTCTTTTATTAATGAATCCGATATGATGTTTAAAACATGAGAAATTCTGCCGTTCAAGAAGTGGGAAGGAAAACATAAATGGCGGAATGGGAAAACCAAAGACTGATCTAGTCGGGATAAAAAAAAGAGGGTAACAAGCAAATTGGGAGGGTGGAAATCTTGACATGCATAATAGCAAAAGAGAAAGCCGTGAACTGGCAGGGAACAACACTTACTTACATTAAATAGGTAAACAAATAGTGTCTAATTTAACTAGGGACAGGTTCACAGGAAAACGCCCCATTGTGTCAAAGGGGACTTCAAAAAGAAAATCAAAGCTCGCCCCGTTCACACGCAGCCGGCTCGCAACGTTTCGCTGAAAACTGTCGATAACAAACGCTTTCTATCAGTTCTGATCTTCATTTGAAGCTGATGCCCAAAGAATCTGTGAAGCTCCCCGTCGCCATTTTTCTCTTCTCTGCATTTCCATATGATATTTAAAACATAAGAAACTAGAGCCATTGTCCAGATAAATGGATAAGCCGCCAATGTTCTGAAGCCATCAGTGCTGGAAAATCGGTGGGCTACCTGTCAATCTATTAACAAAAGTTAAGCTATCAGATTGTTGCTACAAATATTCGATTGTCTCTTCTTCAACTAATCTTGCTTTATACCTTACAAGTCGATCGAAGTAAATATTTCTTAAGGGAGCCTACTCTAGAGTGATACTAAACAAATTAGTCTTTGAAGCGAATACCGCTGATACCATACTGTGCGCTCCACTATTGCGACCTTGTTCTAAATTAGACTAAATTTATTAAATATCTACACATAGAGACATTCTTACTGCGTTACAAATTAACTGGCATAAAAATAAAATTATACGTAGAAGAATGGTACACGCGAACGAACAAGTAACATTTTACAGTTAAAATCGTGCTAAATAATTTAATGAATAAACTTACAATGAAATGAAATGCGCCGTGAACTTAAATGAAATGTATACTGCATTGAAATTACACTTTAACAACGTTTGCTGAGCAAGCAAACGGGGTATGCTTGTAAACTCAATGAAAAAAAATACCGTTCGCTAAGAGTAGATAAGACACGATTCTGAACATTGCATTCACATAGAAAAAAATGTGACGAGCTTAACCGATTTCAAAAGTGAAGGAAATTATTGATATTTATTTAGCGTGACACACTACTGCACAGCACCAAACGAGGAAAATAAGAGTTAGAAGATTGTACAGGGTCTACCAAGAAATCAATAGCGACCAAATTTTTCTGGTATGATATATGAAACGTTAAAAACTACTAAAATACCTTTGAAATTTTTGGAGAGGTTAATACGAAACAATCAAGATCTTCAGCTAGGACATCAGATGGAGTTAGAAATTATTATATGCGCAAAGCTGTTGATTCACAAAGGAAAAACGGGAAGCAACAGAAAAAATGGACTACCCATCGGGGAAAACATCAGGTCGCTGTATAGGGAAAAATTACAAGTATCTGAGAATGTTTGGTTTGTTTTGTTTTACGGCATATCAACCTCAATGGGTCATTTAATGCCAACAAGATTTTTATTGCTGGTAATATTTTTAATTTTGCAAAACTCTATTGCTGGTAATATTTTTTGGTAAAGTTTTGCGTTGTCTCTATTCGAAAGAAACTTGAGAACTACACAAGGTAGAGAGATGAAAGCTATGGCAAATAAAAGTTACAGAACTGGCAAGAGAATTATTCAAGAATCTGGAAGTACCATATGAACTTCCAAAATTGAGAAAACAATTACATGAGGATTTTGACAGGTAAGAAAAAAAAAAAGGAATTACATTTGAAGCATTGAAATGTTTGTGAAAAGGACGAGAGAGACTGAATCACTGTTGATGGTGACACAAACCATTTCTATAAGATAATGTTTTAATGTTAACTTAGACTGCACAATAGTAAATGATACGAAAACTCCTTCGCGATCAATATCAAGCCTGGTGGAAGATAAATAAGCAATTCAATTCTGATTTCTTGATGAGAGATCAGCTCGTGTCCATTGATGTCACATAAGTGTGCGATAATGTGTCTGGGATAAAAAGGATGGTGTTTTTCACGTTGCTAGCCCGGGCAAGGATGTTAGTGTGGACGTCACGGATGGCGAGAATCTAGCAATAGGAACGTTATTCGCATCGGGATCTGATCAGATTCTTTGGGCAATCAGCTCCAAAGATCAGAATTGATAGAAAGTGTTTGCTATCGACAGATTTCAGCGAAAGGTGGTTAAAGCGGCTAGCTTTGATTTTCCTTTTTTAAGTCCCGGTTTCCTGTGACCCCTCCCACTATTTGTTTACCTAGTTAATGTATGTAAGTGTTGTTCCCTGCCAGTTCCAGTCGTTCTCTTTTGTTATGATCTATGTCGAGATTCCCCACCCGCCACAGTTTGGTTTTCTCCTCTTTTTTATCCCGACTGGATCAGTCTTTGGTTTCCCATTTCGCCATTTTTTTTTTTACCCACTCCAATAGTGAATGTGCTTCTTCATTCTGTCGAACGGCAGAATAATCACTACTCATTCGTAATTGTTCTAGCGAGACAAGCTTGCTAACCATTACACCAATTCGAGGTGACCAAGGTTCATCCATCCCTTGAGACGGCGATGGATTTATTTCATGGATAGAATCCTATTTACGCTATTTACACTGTTCGGATTGTTGTTCTCATCTTTATTCTCATGTTCATGATGTTTCAGCTGTTGTACGCTCCGGCCTTCTTCAGTATCTGTCGTTATTTCTGAAATGAGATATTGTAATTATTTACATTGTTTATCTATTGTCATTTTTAAGACGTTTCGGTCGTTGCACGGTCCGGTCTTCTTCAAGTGATATACGTTGGAATTTCGAACGGAACCCTTTATTTAGTCCACGAGGGGGAGATGTTTTAGTTCCACGTGCCATGCTTTTTCAGTTTCGGTTAATTCTCTTTAGTAACTCAACTCCCTAAGTGTTTGTTCACTTCTGCTGTGGCCAGGTATTGAACTCACAACTTTGGGTCAAGTTACTGGATTACTTCACCAACGCTTTTACCCACTGGGCCATGTGTCCTTGGAGACAATAAAGATGAGGAAAACAGTCCGAACAATGTAAATAGTATAAATATTTACAATAGTTCATCTCAGAAACAGACACATATAGAATCCTACCGACGTAAGTAGCGGCAGAGACATCTGGACTTGCTTCTTGATGTTGTCAGGGATTTTGTTGGTGTATTTTTCCATCCCTTTCTTTACCAGACCGAGTGCCCGTATTACTACTGGTATTGTTATGGTTTTTCTGTCTGGCATTCTCGCAATGTCTCTTTCTAAATGTTTATATTTGGAGAGTTATTTTTCTGTAAGCGTATCATTCGGTGTGGGACATTATTATTGTTGTTATTGTTGCTGTTGCTGTTCAGTTACAATTTTTCAATCTCTTTTAACAAATAAATGCGAAAAAGAAGCCCCGCTGATGATATTTGCATCTTGTTTTCCCGTCGTTGGCTAAAAAAACAACTTTTCTTTTAAAGGCCGGATTCCATACTGGCTCAAAAACTGACACAAAGTAATCCTTAGAAATAAACAAAAAGTCACAATATGGTCTTAGATTAGAAATAACTAAGACAAGTAAAATTCAAAAAATGAGAGAGAGAGAGGGAGAGAGAGAGAGGGAGAGAGAGAGAGGGGGAGAGAGAGAGAAACACAATACCATCACAATGTTATCAGGTGAAGCGTTAAATAAACAAAATACGCAACGGGGGTTCTCCCAACACAGGTGAATGAACAAGATACATTTTCAAGTCAAATTACGTTACACACTTCAATAGGTTTCGTTTTGCAACTAGACAATACGCGTGACACAAACGATATCTTTTAAGTTGTCCATCTAGGTGGATATAAACAAAGTAACAAAACATTTTTATTGGCGCCAGTGGCGGTCAAGGATCGAACCTGTGTAAGGCAGGCACTCAAGCATTAAGCATATCAAAACTCGCTGGAAAACAAGCGATAACCACAAATAGTTGTCTTTGTAAACTTTATTTTGGCTTCCAAGTCCGTTTTTCTTCGTGTTTTTTTTTTTTTTTCATGCCAGTGCTAAGTCTTGTAGTTTTGATAAAGTCAAATTGGCAACTAATCTCGAAAATGACGTTCAATCTGTTGTTAACTGAGACAAGAAATGGCTTGCCAAAAATAAACTACTCTCTTTTAATCGTCTTAAAAATAAACTTGTTTTGCCTTCCATAAGTATGGCTGATGCTAACCTTCTGGATAGTAACCTCATTGCACCTTCACGTTCACTGATATTAATTAGAATGATTATATTATCAATTCACTGTGTCGTACTAGAAATCTTTCTCACTTGAATCTGTTTTGCACTGTTATAAGTCTGTGCTTTGAATATTATTGCTACATCTGGTTTGGTGTTTCTGCTATGCATCTACAGATTCTTGAGAGAACCCAAAGAATTATCTGCAATG